GGGGGGGGGCAGGGCTCGTCCTTCCCCCCCATCTCGGCTGTGGAGGTGCTGGGGCGGCGGGGGGGCAGGTCTCATTTCCTCGGGTCTCAAGGGACGTCTCTTTCCCCGCTCTCCCCGGGCTTGGGGAGCTCAAGGGGGGGGGGTGTCTTTTTCCCCCCCCCTTATCGGCCGCGGAGGGTCTTGGCCTCGGGGGGAGGGCTCGGTTTCTTCCCCCAGCTCGCTTCTGGAGGCCTTCGGTCCCCTTCCCTCCCCTCCTTCGAAGAGATGGCAGATTCTCCACGTTTCTCAGAGCTGGGGGGCCGATTCTGTGCCCCCTTCCTTCCCCCCCCAACAAGTGCTATGAAATCTCAACAGCCCCTTGGGGTGTCCGGCCCGTGGGGTGCCAGGTTCCCCAGTGGGACCGGGAGCGGGCTGGGCCCCATGTGCTCCCCGCTGGGCTGGAAACTGCAGCCGGTTCTCTCGGGTCAGGGCTTGGGGCACACAGATGCCCGGGGAGGGGAGTTTACAGCTACACTGGGGATCCCGGGGGATTCTCCTGGGGAGCACAGGCGGTGTGTGGTGGCCGACGGCCTTCCCGTCCCGGTGGTGGAGGTCTTTGGGGCAGGGTATGGGGAATCCGAGCAGCTGGGCAGAGGGTCCAGCCCTGAGGATCACCGTGGGGGGGATGTGGAGGTGGTCTTGGGTTCAGGGGCTCCAAACGTGGCTCCTTTCATGTGGCTCCGGCAGCTCTGCATCTGGGTGTTATGGAGCGGGTACCGACTTGCTTGTGTGATTAAGGAGAGGTAATGAGGGACTGACAGGCTGTCAGGGCTGAGCTGGATCCACCCAGAACCTTCTCCAGATGCACCATCTGCATAATTGGCTCTTGTGCGAGCGTCTGTGCAACCCCAGTCATGTACATTAATGTAAACCAGCCTTCGTCATTCATCTTCTCTGTAGTTTGCTCCAATTTATTTCATCAGCATTTCCCAAGCTTTAGTACCAAATCTGCTTCCCTGTTTAGATTTTCTTTAAGCACTTTATTTTGTGTCCATTTGCACAATGTTAGTAGATAGGGCTGAAGCTTTCACGTATTTTTTTTGTGACGGCAAAGAACTGTGGTGAGTTATAAGCCCGGTTGCCATATTTAAATACCCCGTAACTCAGGATTTCCTGCTCTGTATTGCATTGTAGTTTTAAATGTTTGTTTCAAACCTTTTGCTTCTTGGGAAAAGAGGGATCTTTGCTCACCTACCCCCCAGGTCAGTAGGAGTTATTGTATTGTGAGCAGAAGAGTGGATTTTTGCACTTGCTGTTTAATATAAGATGGAGGGGAGGGTTAACCAGCCAATAATAAATTTTCTTACAGGATTATTTTTTTAATACCTTGATTTAAAAAAAAAAAGTGATTCTTTCACTATTCCTCCATTCTCTTTGATTTAAATTCCTTAATTATGCTGTTTAAAGCTGAAGACAAATGTATTTGAAAGTGTGCCTGCCTTAGGCAACAGTGGTCTTTACTGCAGGTGAAATCTGCAGGTGATTATATTTTAAAAGTGCTTCACAGAGGAGGACAAGAATCATTATCCCTATTTTACAGATGGGAAAACTGAGGCACAGAGCTGAAGTCAGTTGTGCAGCGTGATGTGGTAGGTCAGTGGCAGATGTAGGACGGGCACTCCGCTTGTCTGACCTGCAGTTTGATCTCCCTGTGAAGAGCAGAGCCCCATCCCTGCCCCGTGCTGAGCTCCCCACAGTCCCTCCAGCTGCTGAGCTGGTGGCACTGCTGCTCCCGCTCAAAAGGGGCCTTACTTCTCTGTGTGCAGACTCAAATATAAATGAGCTTGATTCGCTCTTCCATTTGCTTCTTTTTAGGCATTTAATGTAAGATAATTCCTCTTGAGCTGCTTTCCCCTCTTTATTACTGCTGTTTATTTGCAGTAATAAGGCTTTTGTGTTCTTCAGTTCCGAGCCCAGTGTAAAATTCTGAGCCCAGCTGGACAAAAAGGCTGCCTGGCATCAGCTAAGCTTGTAGCACAGCGTTGGTTTGGTTTATTTAGGTTTCCTTGCTGTTACGTAGTGTGCCAAAGATACTACTGTTGTTCCATTTAGAGTGATGTCATTTGCTGGGCAGTGAGGTAATGTCTCCTGGGCTAGAGCGTTCCTGTGGCAGATTTGTTCCCAGAGGGGGTCAGTATTGCCACGTGGGATGGTTGGGAACAGACAAACAGAAAACACACTGTCTTTGGGTGCAGCAAAGCTTTTGGTTGCGCTTATGGTTTGAATGCCCACAAGCTTCCACAGCTGAGCTCAGAGAGAAGAATCTGGTCTCTGCGCTTCCCCATTTCATGTGAGAAAAACACCTCAGGAGTCTCTGTAACGCTTCACAGTGGGGTTTTTGAGATAATTTATTCCACAGCTCAGCTTTTACTGTGCTAAAACTTATGAGAGTTTGTCTCTGCTGAGGCAGGAAGACTGGTCAGAAAACATTGAATTTGTAAAGGTCGCAGCCCAGAGAGGCTGCCTGTGCTGGCGCTCCCTCTCCCTCCAAGTCTAACAGTGCAGCCAGGTGTGGCCGTGGCACAGGGGTACAGTAGTGACAGATCTCCCACGCATCCTGCACAGTCCCGAGGAAGGAGGGACGATCCCCTCAGCCCTCTCTGCCACCGTAAGGTTTCTGTTGTCCTCGGCAGGTGAAGCAGGGAGGGTGAGAGAGGACGTGAGGATTTCCTGCTCCTTCCATCGGACTTCAAAGACTCCTGCAGTAGCAGAGAGCTCCCTTGCCTGAGCTGTTTGCTTTTTGTCAATCTCACGTAGCAGTTGTACCTTGAGCTACCTAGCTCAAGGCTAGAGACTGACTCTATTCAGCTTGCTTTCCAGCAGTTCTTTGAGCTGGAAGAACATAAACAGAGCAGTCACTTGCAGGAAGCATTAATGGCTTCAGCAACTCATTAATGAACAGAATTTTAAACTTGAGAGGAGATCTTAACCAGGCAGCCCAGCCAGCTAAGCTGATTCTCTTCCTGGTTCCTAGAGCTTGTTTTTATTTTTCCTTATAAAGCAGTAAAACATGGAGGCTCCTTTTAGTAGTTCTTCAGCTCTCATTATAATTCCCAAAGCTTTTGTCCAATTAGCTTCCTATTTTCTCTTGGCACAGCCTTAGTGTAGGGGAGGGGTTAAGGAGGCAAGCTTGTTGGAGAGTTGGTTGTGACCGCGGCTGCTGCAGGAACATGCTGTGATTCCTTCTGCGCAGGAAACGCAGAGAGCGGCTGTGGGACTGAGCAGCCCTTGCCAGGCCGGGAAGTGAATCAGAGAGGCCACAAGCGTAGGCATGGGTGGGCAAGGAAGGGTGGCGTCACCGAGAGCTGAGGGAGCACTTGGAAGCTTGATGCCTCATAACTGGTGTCATGGCTCTGCGATGGTTGAGGGATGGGGGTTCCCCCTTTGGGGAGCACCTTCCTGGCTCCCTCTCTGTAGGACAAACCTGTGCTTCATTTGGAAAACACTGTACAGCTGATAGGCTGTTCTCCATTCTGGTGTCTCCAAAACCAGCCCAAGGGGAAAGAAAGAACTGACTCTCCAAGTATCTTTCTATGGATCAATAATCCCAATTTTCTATGTAACCTACCCAAAATTTTTGGAGTGTTTCACTGAGACTGGCAAGTTCAATGTGCCCTTTTTTCATCGTTGTTTCGATCCTATCAGAGGAGCTATTTTGGTTTGTCCTGTCTGCACTGAAAATCCAGAGAGAGTGCTGCAGGAGGAGTAGACCTTTCTGGAAGCTTATCACTAAACCATTTATGGATTTTATTTTTTTTGTACAGGTAGAAAAGGAGGCCACAAAGGCCGAGCAAGACAGTACACAAGTCCTGAAGAGATTGATGCCCAGCTCCAAGCAGAAAAGCAAAAGGCAAGGGTATGTGTTTGCCTATGTTACGTGCTTACTGTCGTAGGTTATGGCTTGTACAGCATGCTTAACTTGCAGTTCATGAGAAATGGCAGCTTAGTCAAGTGTTTCAGGTCATTCCGTCAGTGGTCACAATGTGAATTCTGAATATCTCTGTCTGGGGAGACTACAAGGTGTGATCCAGTCTGGTTCCTCGCAGAAGTGAGGCCAGGTAGACCATCCAGTTCACAATTTGAAGGTTAAAGGATAGGGAACGTGATTACACAGCAGCTGTAGACATCTTTTCCCCCTGTATTTCATCATTCTAGTCTCCAGTGTCAGCTATTTTTTTTTTATTTGTGCTCTGAAGCTTGGCTGTGGAGAAAAAGGGCTCATGTCTTCACGTCTTATTGTATACTGAAATTATTATATTTGCCCTCTTTCTCTTCAGACTTCAAAGACCGAACTCCTTTTACTTCTTCCTGTACACATGATTTTCTTGTTTGCCTCTGACTTGTAGGGAGAGATAACAGTCCTTTTTTGGGCGTGTTCCTGTGCCCCAACATAGGATTATAATGGCTCCCCCCACTTCTACAACTACCTGACTGGTGTTAGAAAAGGCATGGCTAGTTTTTGCAGTACTTGCTCTCTTGTATTCCCAAATTATCACAGCTACGATGGCACTCTCACTGCTATTTTTCTATGACTTTCTGAAAGTGCTGCGTAAGCCTAAATACACTATTCCAGCTGAAGCTTCACAGCACTGTCTACAGTAGGATAATTATACCCCATATAGGAAATACTGATGAATACCTCTGAGAAGGTGACTCTTTCAAGCAGTTATGAGCCATATTGTTGACTCCTTTTTAATGTTTTGACCAGCTGTAACTGAAGATGATTGTGTGGTTTGCTGCTTAGCCACATATTCCGACTTTGTGTTGGATTTATTCTTCCGAAGTATAACTCCTCAGTTTGTTTTCTGATTCCACCTTCTTGGTATCATGCCATCTTTCCAAATTCTGAAACCACTTATGGGTCTGATCCTGTTTTCCAAAATGATTCCAACTCCTACCAGTGCGATGTCATTCACAAACTTTACTTCCAAGTTGTTAATAAAATACCAACTGGAAATGGAACAGAACAAGCAGGGACCCCACTTGAAATGTCTGTCTTGTTTCAAAACAAACCAAAGAACTGCTCTTTGAGAAGGATTTCTTTTTTTGTTCTTTTGTGATAATCCATACCACATAGTGATGGTTACATCTAATGCTACTTTGTTAGGGAAAGCTTAAAAAAAAAAAACCCAAACAATGAACAAAATTACTCCTCTTACTGCCCATAGCTCATACACTTTGCCAGTTGCTGTGATGTGGGATATTTGGCAATGGGAAAGCAAGCTGTGCACACCCATGTTGGTTCTTATCTTCTAATGATTTACAAATTAATTCCTAGACTTCAGACTGGTAAAAGCTTTACTAAGAAGTTTGTAATTTCTTGGATAATAGTGTTCTGGTTGATGGTTGTCAATTTGCTCTTCTCTAGGTTTTTTTTTATCTAGATCTAGGATGGGATCCAGGTCTACGCTACATCTGTGTAGTTTCCAGTCTCTGAGATATTGTGCACGGGAAACCCAGGCCAAAATATCTCCTGGAGATCTTTCATTTGGGGAAAGTAAAGTGCTAGTTCTGTCTTTTACAGTCGTGTTCCTGGCCCATTACAGAGAGAGAACAGCAGAGTTGTTTAGAGGTGATCCGCTGGGGCACGTGATGCATGCTTATGTGTTGAGAATGAGCTCCTGTTTTGTAACAGCCAGGCATCCTTGGTGTCAGAAGGGCCACGTCAGGAACACCACTGCTCTTAGAGTTCGCTCTAAAATTATCTCGTTTAAGAGTCACTGTTGGATTTGGGATTTTTATTGACATGCCTTTTCTCTCATTTCCTGTGATTTTGTAGGAAGAAGAGGAGCAAGAAGAAGGAGGTGAAGGAGCAACAGGGGACCCCAAAAAGGAGAAGAAGTCTTTAGATTCAGATGAGAGTGATGAAGATGATGAGGATTATCAGGTACTGTCATTCTCAGGGCACTTAATGCATTTGCACTACCTGGATTCTTGGGGCAGGAGAGAGATGCACACCCTTGACTCCGGAGTTCTCTTTTGAGAGCTACCTATAGTAAATTTTTTATGGAAGACCTATTTTTAGAAGCCCAGAAAACCTTACTTGACAACATTTTGTCCTCAGAATGAAAACTCGGGTATTTTTATAAGTGAAATGCAAAGGCAAGATTTCAAAAAAGGCTGAAGATGCCTGGTGGTATAAATCTTGGTTCGTAAATGGGTTTGCTGTCTGGTAGTAAAAACATCTTGACTTCTGCCTTTGCGGTGTGTTGCAGTGTATTTGATGAGCTCTGATACAACACAATGTTGGGTTGAGAGAGCTTCTTAACCTTCCTCTTGTCCTTGAACCTTAGCAAAAGCGCAAAGGAGTGGAAGGGTTGATAGACATAGAGAATCCCAATCGTGTAATTCAGACAACCAAAAAAGTAACTCAACTGGACCTGGATGGACCTAAGGAACTCTCGCGACGAGAGCGGTGAGTCTTTCCTGCTGCCTTGGCAGGAGTTAGTGTGTTCCTGGCATTTCATCCTTGCTGGTGGCAGCAGCTTAATGCGGGGAGGTTTTTCCCTGGTGTGTATGCGTTCGGAAGCCCTTTAAGTATGTTGCTGTCTAAAGCAGACACTGAACAGCAGCAAACTGGGGTGCAAAATGTCTTTCCTTACAAACTTCACAGAAGTTGTCTATCCTCTGGGAGTAGCTATGGCCATCCTGGAGCCAGGCAGCTTGGCCAGGTGCGCTAAGAGAATGAAGTTTGTTGCTGTGGAGTGGATGTAGGCCATTCATTTCCTGAAGTTTTGTGCCAAAAATCAGACATAACTAAAATCCATTAACCAGAGGTCACCTTGGGGGCTGCTTTAATCTTGCTACAGGAGGTGCCCCAGTGACAGGTAGCAGTTTCCCAGATTGCAGGCGTCATGGTGAAAGCTTTGTCTGAGCAGATGAATAAGATGAGAACCAAAGTTTAATCTTCTAGTCTCATTTAGCAATGGAGAGTTTCAGAGTGAAAGATTTAAGCTCACTTATTTGGGATAGATTGCTTCAGCAGAAGTACACCTTTGAGGGTATGGCTCGGAAAAACATGTCATGGTGCTGTGCAGTCGGGCTAATTCATTTGACCTCATTGTGTGTCAATATCCTTATTTAGCCGAATGAAGGTGGAAATAATCTCTCTCATCATCTGTGTTCAGACCCTGCAATAGATATAACCTGTGCTTGAAAACTGGTGACAGGGCCCCCCAGTCTCTGTGGGCAATCCATCTCTGTCTTCACCATCCTTCCCAGTCAGAAAGCTTCCCCCTCTCTGCCTGTACCTGTGTGCTTCCTTGGATACTCTGGTGACTGATGTGTTTCACTCAAACAGAGAGGAAATAGAGAAACAAAAGGCAAAAGAAAGATACATGAAAATGCACCTAGCTGGCAAAACAGAACAAGCGAAGGCAGATCTCGCCCGACTAGCCATCATTCGGAAGCAAAGGGAAGAAGCTGCCAGAAAGAAAGAAGAAGAAAGAAAAGGTTAGAGAGTAATTAATCATATCCTCTTACTTCTCTTTGCAATGGCTGTACTGCCAAGAGGCATGATTTCTCATATCACACATAGTAATCCCTCACCTCCTGAGATTGCGTGGTGTTGCTGAGTGTCATCACAATTCCTCTCATCACAACCAGGTTCAGCTGTTTCATTCTTACAAAGTCCTTGCTTTATAAAGCTCTAGGGCATCTGAACAGGCAGCAGGAAAAGAGAGAAGGGAATTGCCTTTGATAACCATGTTGTCCTCACCCTCCCAGGCAATGCTTGCTCTAGTTTGGGGGTTTAGCGGGTTCCTTGTGCTGGGTATGATCTATCTGCTTTGCATGCTGGGGATCCAAACTGCCCAGGGCATTTGCAGCACTCCTCCCCTGCCTGGATGTTCTCTTCGGCTCTGATAGATGTGAAGCAGAAGTCTGATGAGTGTGTCTTCTCAGTGGCTTCCACTGAGGAGCTTGTGCATCAGCATCAGGGTAATTTGTGGACTCTTGAAGAGAGGCCAAGGATAGAAGGGAACATGCAAGGGGGGCTGCTCCTCTTAACTCTGGAGGGGAGCTACCAGGGATTGGCAGGGCGGGTTGGATTTTTTCCCGTTACCTCACTGTACATGGCTAGTGGGATTCAGTCTCTGGGGCTTTCAAGCCACCACCAGTCCCTGATATATGCTGTGAAATGACGACACCTCTGTTCTTTTCCTCCCCCAGCAAAAGATGAAGCGGCCATGGCAGGTAAAAGACTGCAGTCACTATCCCTTAACAAGTAAGCACAGGACATGCAAGAGGAGGAAACTCCAGGGAACTGTGCCTGGTGCCTGCCAGGAACTCTGTCGTGTTGCATACCATAGATGCCACGTAGGGTGTACTGCGGCATCGAAGTCACCTTCACCTCCAAGAGACACTGACGATGTGTTTGTCCTCATCCTGGCACAGATTTCCATTTGGGGTTAGGGGCAGCTGCTATCTTCGGTGCAGAACTGTGCTGAACAGCAATTCTCTGTAACAGTTTGGAAACCTGAATGTTTTTGCTGATTTTAGGATTCAGAACTCATAGACGGGGCGGGAGGGAGCTGTGCGGGAGGGGAGCTGCTTCAAATATTAGATTGCAAGAAAATAGATTGTGGGGTCATTGTGGGGTGGGGCATGGGGTGGGGAATTTTGACTTGCTAGTGAAAGCCCAAAGGATAATGTATCTGAGGAATCCTTTTTGGGCAAATGGCCCATCAAATTTTGCTGCAGGGTGTTGCAGTATAAGCTGGGAGCCTGACTTCATGGACATCTGGAGTGCCGTTTCTTCCCGGTTTCATCCCTCCTTTCTTGCAGCCAGTCTCCCCTTTTCCCTCCTCTTCATTTTTTTTTTTTCTTCTCCTTATTAGGGATAGTGCCAGTTTTTAACCACATCATCCTTTGTTTAAAGGAAAAAAAACAAACAACATTAATTGTATCAGACCCAGATGGAAAAAAACTTGATAAAGTTTAAAAAACGACAACAACAGAACTTGTATATTTGGCTGATTAAAATGTAAGTTATCATAACTGCTCTGTCCTCGTCTTGTGTGTGTGTAAACGAACACAAGTGTACAGGCTGCTGCTGAGATGCAAGGTGCAGTAGCAGTCCGGTGGTGTGGTGACTTCTGCATCTGCTGCTTTGCTGGTCTGTGTTGTTTGTGGTGTGGAGTTTGGCTTGAGGTTCAGGAGCTCCATCAGCAGATGCAGCCTGAAGGTGAAAAGCTTTTCCTGCTGTCTCTGATGGACTGTCTTGCACAATCTGATTACCACAGTGGAGATAACGGTTACCCTCAGGCTGCTGTCGGACCTCGTTGCTGTGTCAGAAGGCCGGTCCCCGAACTGTCACCCCTGTCAGATGTCCTGTCTCACAGTGTAGGGCTGCTGGAGCAGGAGATGCTCTAACCCGCTGCGCCCCAGGAGGTCCAGGGTGTCCTGCTGTCAGCCTGTGCCAGGGACACCAGCACTTCCCAGACTTGCTTACCAAAGGCTGGAGGAGATTCAGCCCCAGAGCTGAGACGAGAGCGCTCTCGGCGTCGCTAGCAGAGAGGTTACGGTCGTAGAGGTGCAGGGTGACAGAACAAATCACATTTGTGTAATCCTCTCCATGCCTGGCTGTGGGGGCTCCGGCTCATATGAGGGTGTGCCAGGGTGGTGTGCTACAGGGCATGTCGCTGTGAGCTGCCTGCCCAAACCGTGGTGAGGAACTTGCTTTCCTGGTGCGGGAAGGCCGGGTCATCTCTGCACATGGGTGAAAGTGTAACCCCTAGGGCTGTTCCGCCAGCCTGTGGTTTTGTGCCCCAAAGCATGATCTGAGATGAGAAATATCTTCAGGGAGCTACACGAGATGAGTGGTACCAGGAGAGGTGCCCTTGCTGTCAGCTCCAAGAGGGAAGAACTGATCGGTGGGGACAGAACTGACATGGAAAGTTTGGGGGGTCCTTGCAGCACAGGGAGGCGGATGGAGCAGCGTGGTGGGAGGCAGCAGGCTGATGCCTGGGACGGAGCAGGGCAGGAGCCACAGGTAGAGGGGGAGAGGGATGGGGCTTGTTGACACGGGGTGAACACGCAGAAGTGGATGGAAAAATCTTTTCCTAGTAGAACGCACCTCCAGCTAACTAATGGCTGGGCCAGAACCCAAATGTCACCATCCCTCTCTGCCAGCCAGCACTCCCTTCCCAGGCCATGGTCAATGTAAGGGCTGGTCTGCTTTGAGGGGCACCACCAGGATCGGGGTTTAACCCGAGCTGTCACAGCGAGGTCTGATCCCCGGAGGAGTAACCACATTGCACTGCACAGGTTCCTTTTCCTTTTGGTGACAAATGTAGGATTTCCTCTGCAGAGACGCTCATTTTAAGACACGGCAACACTGGAGGAGTGGCTGGGCATCTTGCCTGCCCTAACACACCTGCCTGGGTACTGGTTCTTCTTCTGCCTTTGCCAAAGCCCTTACCAGGCACTTCATCATGATTTCATACCCTCTGAAATGTGTGACCCTGCCCGTTGTTTACCACACGCAATTAAACCCTGCTCTGAAATGTAGAAAGATTTATCCGCTTTCTTACAGCTTCTTCAAAGGCTCCTCGGCACTCCTGGGAGCAGCTTTGTCCTTTGTGAGATGGGACTGCTCGTAGCCTGAGTTAGAAATGAGGAAGGTCGAAGTTGGAGGTGCTCTGATCAAAATGACCTGGCAGCCTGCGATAACAGGCTGGAAAGCGGCAGGATTGGTTTGGCAGCCCAAGGTTTCCGAGCTGGCTCCCAGGGTGTGGAATTGCACACCTGACGGGACTTGACCGGGGTCCAGGAGGAGCTTGGTGCCTGGAGCAATGTGGGAAACCTGCGCTGCCATGCCACCTCCATCCTCGCCCCTACCTTCTCTCTAGTACCGATCCTGTTTTGAAATTGTGCTGAAACAGGGAACGGGGAGGTGACGTTCCCCTTATCCCCACGGTCCTGATTCATCCTCAGATCTGGCAGTAGAATGGACCCATGGTGAGATGCAGCACAGCAGCCTTGATGTGCTCTAGTCACACGCATGTTCGCCTTGAACTTGTTTTAAAAAAAGCAAAAAAAAATCATTGGCGTTATACAGGAAAATCCTTACTTTATTCTTGATTTCTTTAAGCGATGTATGACCAGCATCGGGTAGGATGGTAACAAAAATAGTAAAAAAAAAACCTGTTTTCTTTGTCTGAGAGCAGCCGCCGGGGCTGGCTGGCAGCTGAGGAAGCGTGCTGGTGGCACCGTGGCCGGCTCGCGTGGCACAGGGGCTCGCGGGGGAAAGCAGGCAGGCGCAGCGTAGCAGGGGTGGGCTGGCAGCCGGGACACCATTCCCGGATGGCTCCTTCATTTGATCTTGAGATCCTTCAGCGCTGACTCCAGGCTCTAAAAATGAACCAGGAGGTCATTAGTCACCAGCTTTTTGTTTTCCAAGGCAACTGGAGGTGGTTGGGGAGTTGAAAGCAGGGGGGGGAAGCTGTCCCCTGGGGTGCTAACCCATCCCCACGGGGAAGAGATCCCAACTTCCACTGGTTTTGGCTCATTTTTCAAGCCACGTGGGCAAACCTGAAGCCAGGAGAGGGTGCTGGATCCCTGCACAAGGCTAGCATCAACCCCCACTCTGATGGTGAGCTGTGAAAGTGCCACCCAGGGGTGTCCCCCACCCAACCCTGCATTAAAGGAGATCCCACCCAGGACTGTGGGACCCCCGTGGGCAGGATGGGCCCCACCACCACAGCAAAGAGCTATGCAGCAGCGGGGTGAGGGATTGCAATTAAAGCTGTGGCTAACGAGGGTTCAACGCTGGATGCTCCCAGCCTGGAGGGACCGTGGCACCGTGGGGATGCCTTACCTTGACATCCCAGATGCTCATGCCGCCGTCCATCCCCGTGGTGCAGAACTGCGAGCAGTTGGCCTTCCCACCTGCCAGCACCGAGATCTGGCTGCGGGGCACAAAGAGACGGCGGGGAGTCAGCCCCAGGTCCCTGCTGAGTCCTCAGGGCTTCCCGGTAGTCGGTGGGTGGGATTGGGGCTGGACCCCTTCATCTCCCCCATCCATGTATAGGGGTGCTCCGGGGCTGTCCCAGCTCCTGGGGTTGGACCTCGCTATCTCCTCCACCCATGTGCAGGGATGCTCTGGGGATACCCAGGGATGCTCCAAGGATGCTCTGGGGATGCTCCAGGCTGTCCCAGCTCCTAGGGCTGGACCCCTCCATCTCCCCCACCCACATGCAGGGATGCCCAGGGATGCTCCAGGGTTGTCCTAGCTCCCAGGCCAGACAGCAACACTGCCAGGGGATGCTTGGGGACCAGCACCCCCAGGCAGCCCCCAGGGTGACCCAGCCGAGCCTGTCCCTCCACCCACTCCCCCCCCAGTAAGCACCTGATACTGTTCTTGTGCAGGGTGTCCAGCGTGGCGTTGGCAGTGTCCGAGCTCGCTTTCTTGTCCAGGTTCTGGAAGCGCTCGCGGGCGGTGAGACCGCGCTGGGAGCTCTGCTTGGGGACATCCAGCTTCCCCCCGAAGGTCAGGGTGCCCTGGCTCTCCTCGTAGGTGAACAGCATCGGGTAGCAGTCGTGGCCCTGGGGAACCAGGTTGCTCTGCTTAGTACCCTTTTGCCAGCTCCCAGCACAGCTCCTGCCCCATGTCCCCAGCCCGGACTTACTGCGGCCACCAGGCTGTTTTCAGTGATGAAGGTGACGGCCAGGAGAGGCAGGGTCTCGGTGCACAGGGAGGCGACGCTGTGAGGGAGGGCAGGGTGTTAGCAGCGAGCCGAGCTTCAGCCTCTCCGTGCCGAGACTGGCGCAGCTCGTAACATGGGTGGAAGCCACAAGACTACCAGGAGAGGATGTGCCACCTCCTCCGTCCATGTTTGCTTGGCTCAACCCAAACCCAGATGTCTCCATCCCTGGGTCAGTTTTGGGGTCAACCCCCCCTGCCACGACAGTACGGCTGCCCCAGCCCCCCCACCAGCCCCTTCTTCTCCCCAGCCCTGCTTACGCCATCTTCTTGTTGGCATCGGCGAGGCAGAGGGTGCTGTCGTGGCTCACCCAGGCTACACGGGCGCCGCTGGCCGAGAAGCAGATGCTGTGCACCCACCCGCAGCTGCTGCTCGACTCGAACATCAGCTCCCCGAAGGGCATCTTGGAGCCCCACGGTGTGGGGCTGGGTCGCTCCTCCACCTCCTTGATGTAGGCTGAGAAGATCCTGGGAGGGGAGAGCCTTGCCATGAGTCCCTGGACACAGCACCATCCCTGCCCCTTTGCGTGCCTCAGTTTCCCTGCTAGAGCCCGTGGGGTGCCCTGCTGCCTCTCATGCCCTGCTGGGTGCTGTAACGCCGGGATGGTCCCCAGGGCACCCCCCAGCCCTCCCCATATCTCCCCTTTACCCCGTCCTTGGCTTCCAGCAGCACCCAGAGGGGTAAAGCCTGCCCCATGGGTGAGCCAGGGTGCTGAGCTACCCCACACACCTCCGTGCTGTGCCAGGGTGGGACCCCAAACCGTCCTTGGGACATCCCCCCACCTCAGGTCCTCCCAGGCATCCACCCCCGCTGCTCCTCACCGGCACTTGAAGTCGCAGGAGCCGGCGGCCAGGAGGACATTGTTGGGGTGCCAGTCGAGGCTGAGCACCGTCGAGCGGATGGGCTTCTTGATGTGCTTGCAAACCCACCTGCGCGGAGAGCGGTTGGCATTGGTGGGGGAGCATCACCACCCCTGGGAACCACCCTGGGCTTTCAGCGGGACCTAGCTGAGGGTGGTCAGGGCTCCAAGTGCCCCAGGAGCTGCCCTGGGCCACCATCCTGCAGTAGCAGCTTGGGCATGGGGACTAACTCCCTCCATCTCCCCATCTGTCTCCACCTCTTCCTCCAGCTCCTCTCTGCCTCACCTCCAACTCCTCTGGCCTCCTATCTCCCAGTCCACCTCCGCATCCATCCATCCATCCATCTCATCCATCCATCTATCCATCTCATCCATCCATCCATCTCTTCTCCATCTCCCCTCCATCTCCCCCAGGACAGACCCAGTGAGGCCATGGCAGACCCTCACCAGTCGTTCTCCTGCTCAAAGTAGCAGATGGAGATGAGTCGGGAGCCGCTGCCCACGGCGAACTTGTTCTCCTTGGGGGACCACTTGACACAGCGGGCGGCCCGGTTGATCCGCAGGATGACCAGGGTGGGTTTCCAGACGTTACCCTTCAGCGTCCAGACATAGGCGTTGCGGTCGGTCCCGCACGTCACCAGCCGGTTGCTCTCAGGGGCCCAGTCAATGCCTGGAAAGCAGAGAGGGGTGATGGTGGCCCAGGGAGCCACGGGGATGGGGATGGAGAGCTGGAGGCCATTTGAAGGCAGAGCTGTTCTGGGTGGTCTCTGCTCCAGAATCCCTCTTTGCCCTACTCCTGCATGGATCCCAAACCATCCCACCCCATCCCTTCCCATCCCTCTGACCCCAGAGCATTCCATCCCAACCCATCGCACCCCATTCCATCTATCTCATCCCACTTCATCCCTTCCCATCCCATCCCTCCCACCCCATCCCACCCCATCTCATCCCATCTCTTCCATCTATTCATCCCTTCCCATCCATCCATCCATCCCACTTGACCCCAACCCCATCCCATGCATCCCATCCCATATCATCCCTCCCTACCCCATCCCTCTCCATCTCTCCCATCCCATCCCACCCCTGGGTGCCTTCTGACATGTTGGATTCGGGCCAGGAGATGTAGACACAACCTGTTCCCCCTCCTCTACCCGCTGCACAATCCCCATCCAGACGCTGCCGGTGCCACCGAGTGGGGCTGGGACCGGCTCTGGGGCAGGACCATGT